TAAAATTTTGATTCTTGACTTTGAACTAGCTGGACACGTGAAGAAAGAAAAGGAGGAAAAAAAAAAAAAAAAGCCTAATTAACCATAATTAACCATTGTGAGGGCAGCGCAGCAGTCTCTTGCTTTTCCCCTGCAGGTACGTGCTGCATCATCTCCCTCTGCACGTGCGTCGCGGGGATCAACTTTGAGCTGTCGCGCTACCCTCGCTATGTCTACGGGCTGCCGGAGGACATCAGCCACGGCTACGGCTGGTCCATGTTCTGCGCCTGGGGAGGCCTGGGCCTCACGCTGCTCGCTGGGTTCCTCTGTACACTGGCCCCCTCACTCAACACTTCTCGGGCACCAGTACAAAAACCCAGACAAGAAAACGGGGCTGTGTGACCCCTGAGGGAACGAGGCGAGACTCTGGAAAGCGCAGCCTGGGCAGAGCTGTGGGTTAACACCGGGAGGCGGTGGCACGTCAGCGCGCGGAGAGCGGTGCCGGAGCTATGCAAATACCAGCCTGGGGTGCTGCGACGGACTCTGGTCTTAGACATTGCAAGTAACTCCAGGTTTGAATTATTGCTGATTTGCTCATTGACGGTTTAAAGGGGACAGTTCTTTTGTTTTGTTTTATTCTCTTCTGTTTACAAGGGATTAAGTTCAAGGCTGTGGCTTTTTTTGTGCTCTTTTCTGAACTGTACCCCATGGTCCTGTTGTCCAGTTGTAAGGGATGTTTACGCACCAACTCTATTGCTGCAGGTCTGTTGTAATTCAGATCCCAATTAGGGCAAGGAGGTGGGTGAAGTTGGCTTGAACACTTTTGCAACAGACTTGTCTCGTGTGGCTCAGGCCATCATTTCCCAAAAGAACCTTGATCTAAGCCGAGGTTTAGGCCAAAGAATTAGCCTGTCCTTAATATTAGTTCATCTAAAGCAGGAAGCTGTAGTAGTCTGTGCTGTAGCATCAGCTGTTTAATCAAGCTGATTGAGTCCGGCACAGCAAGACTCTTTAGGAAAGCAGGGGAAAATTTTCCACAGCTTCTTACACAGGTAAGGTTACTCAAACAACATGTCCTTGTTTTAATGGGGAGATTCATGCAACATGCAGCTTATAACCATCCTGCTGGGGGCCAGGATATGTGTTTGTATATGAAGGTAAGTCATAGTTTGTGCTGCTGGGATCAGCTTTCACCAGGCTAACTGGGTGTGATGCTGTTCTGTGAAAGGAGATGGGCAACTCCCCCTGAGCCTGAATAGCAGAGCTGCTAAGGTAGCAGACACTGGACATCCAAAGCAACTGCAGTGTTCTCCTCAGGAACGTGTGGCTTCTGTTCACTAAACCTCTCCCCCGTTTATAATGCCCACTTCCTCCCCCACGCAGCAATGTGCTCCCCTGGCATAAGCTCCTGCTCCGGAATGAGCGGGAAGGGGCTTGGAATCCATGTAAGTACTAGGGCTAACTCAGGAACATCAGCCAAAGTGCTGTGGGGTGCATTTTTATTTCATTTCATCTCTTTTTTCTTCCCTCACATTCCCACCCCTCTCCCAAGCTTTCAAAAACTGCACAGGTAAAGATGAGATGGCCAGCATTTAGAGATGTTTACATTGTATTTCAAATACAATACAGTGGCATGTAAGATATTTAATGATAAAGTCAGTGTATTTATGAAAAGTGTAATTTTTAAATGGAAGTTGTAATTCTCAACTGGCATTAAAAGTACTGAAAGACTTGCCCAGTGGATGCAGCTGTGAATTCTTGCCCACCAATTACCAGATTGATTCACCAGAGAACTCACATATCAGCCATCATGTTAAAGCTTCCACCATGAAGGTCAGATAATAAACAAGTGTGAATGTTGTTACCTTCTCCCTTGAAAATCGGTGTTTGTTCAGCAGTTGGTAAGACCCTTGCACTGTTGTAGTCTGTACACTGACTGCACAGGTGACAGTGGGGGTGTTGAGCTGCAGCTGATCCGTTTCAGAGCACTCCTACTGCACTGCTACCTGGTGCTCCTTGCCCCGAAGTAGCGCAGCAGGATTTAATCCAGTTAAGCAGGAGGAGGCTCCAAAGGCAGTGGGATGGACCAGAAACACAGGACAGCAAGGATATTTTCTTAGAAGAAAAAAAAAAAAAAAAAAGCTTTATTTTTTCTAGACAGAAAGTGGTACAGTCCAGTCTTGTCCTGTCTGTTGCCAAGGCCACCCTCGTGACTGGGCAAACATCAGGCATAGTACTGCAGATTGGCTTTTTTCTTTGCTTGAACCTCCAGGATTCCCTCCATGTAGTCCTCGTGGGTGAGCTCTGTAGCACCACGGCGAAGGGCGATCATCCCCTGCCCAAAGAGAGCGGAGTTAGAAGCATGTGAGCACAACATCAGCTCAGAGTTACTGTGTTCCAGCTTACACAGCCTCCTCCTCTCCATGCAGCCTACTAGCAAGGAACTCTTACCGCTTCCACACATACTGCTTTGCACTGGGCTCCATTGAAATCATCTGTGCAGCGAGCCAGTTCCTCATAATTCACATCAGGGCTGAAAACAGGGGAAAAAAAGAAGTCTGAGAACATGCAGCCAATAGAAAAAGCAACGTATGGAGCTTTCTTAAATAAAAGCCCAATAAAATAGAGTGCCTCCCACCCCACAGAAAGAAGTACTGTTGCCACACGTGGCAAACACAGCCCCAGAAGGCCATTCGGCTTCTCTACCTGACATTCATTTTGCGTGAATGGATCTGCATGATTCTGGCTCGGGCTTCTTCGTTGGGCATTGGAAACTCGATCTTGCGATCTAATCGGCCAGAGCGGAGCAAAGCTGGGTCCAAGATATCAACCCGGTTGGTTGCAGCAATCACCTAGGTAGAAACAGCATCATCAGTCTGAGGCACCTTGAGCACACACCTCTCCTCCTTGGGATCCACTGTGCTGCTTCCCTGGACATTGTTTTTCTTCTGACAGAGACCCCTGTGCCTCAGTAGCACTTTCTGCTAGATCCCACCTTGACTTGTGTGTTGGGTTGGAAACCATCCAGTTGATTAAGCAGCTCCAGCATGGTCCTCTGCACCTCCCGGTCACCAGCCTTCTCACTATCAAACCTGAGGAAGAGGCAAGGAAAAAAAACCTATCAGCTTGAGCCTGACCACCCTGCCCTTCTATTCTCCTCACGTTAAAAGGCAGTCGCTGCGGGCACACTGCTTGGCTAAGCTCTTCCCAGGCCACCTTGAAGCTACAGCAGGTCGTGCACTGATGAGATCCTGCAACCAGAGTTTAACTGTCAGCAGCACTGACATCCCGTTACATCCTTAGCCTTAAACAGGGCTGATGTTGTCCAGGCCCAAGTAGTAAAGAAGGGCAAACACCTTCATGTGCCTGATGCAGTCACCAGGGAACAGATTTGAACTGTAGGGGACCATCAGATGGCTCTCCAGGATCACTGTGTTTCGCCAGCTCGAGGTGTTTGGCAACTGTTGTCATTGTTTTGCCCTGTGTCTCTGACTAGGGTGTGCATTAAGTCAGTCTTATCTCTCAAACCCAGGCCAAGGAGACTGCTAGGCATCCAAGTGCTTACAGCATGGTCTATACCTCACCTTTTGGTGCCAATGGCATCCAGTTCGTCAATAAAGATGATGGAAGGGGCTTTCTCCTTAGCTAGAGCAAAAGCATCTCGTACCAGCTTAGCTCCATCACCAATGAACATCTGCACGAGTTGTGGACCAGCAAGCTTCAGGAAGGTAGCCTGGGAAATAGAAAATCCTATACCTATATCTTCAGCACTAAGATTGTAAGTGCTGAATGCTACAAAAAGCTCATACTTAAACATGCAAACAAACCCGCACAGAACCACAGCTCCAGTTTAGACACAAAACCCCTCTCCCTTGGAGACATTCTTTATCAGCTACTATCCTACAACAGATGCTTTAGAAGTTTCCTCTTACCTTAGTCTGGGCAGCACATGCTCGAGCTAAGAGCGTCTTCCCTGTTCCTGGAGGTCCGTACATGAGCACTCCTTTGGGTGGCTGTATACCCAAATTTTCAAACTTCTCCTTATGATTCATTGGCAGGACAATGGCCTCCACAAGCTGCAGCAAAAGAAACATATGAAGCCACAGAACCACCCCACTCCACGAATGCAGGCTACCTCAACTAAGAGCTGAAGCTCAAAGCTTTCTGCCTGCAGTCACACTGCAAACGGAATGTAAGGTATCACCTCCTGGATTTGTTTGTCCAGCCCCCCGATGTCACTGTACTGCTCTGTGGGCCTCTCATCCACCTCCATGGCTTTCACCCGTGAATCATATTCTGTAGGCAGGGTCTCCAGGATCAAGTAAGAGTCTTTGTTCACTCCCTGTAAACATAAATCCACCAGCTTTGCTTAAAGAAGGCCCTTTAGGCAGCAGTTGTTACTAATCATGCAACCAAAAGT